CCCCCCCCCCCCCCCCCCCCCCCCACACACACACAAACACAAACACACACACACACACACACACACACACACACACACACACTCCTTTTCTATCTTTGTGTTTGGTGTGTTTTCTAAAAGCTGCTGTTAAGTCAAATGAAAATATTGATGCTACAATTTCAACTCGGGAATTAAATTCTGAACAGAAATGGCAGGTCTTATGGTATGATTAACCTCATCGCCTAATGTCTGCTGTCTGTGGTCTCCTCAGCTCTCTGCCACGATACAGCTGGCGTCGGGGGAGAACTACAACCTGGACCTCCACCTGCTGTTCCCCATCGTCCCTCAACAGAGCAACTTCAAGATCCTCACCACCAAGGTATCCCAGTCACTCTGACTTTAGCTGCTCCAGTAAGTGTGCCGGTGAAACTTCCTCCATCAACAGGGAGTCCACTTTTTAGGAAGGAAATGGCATATTTAACATTTTGGCATACGTTTTTGATGAGTTGACACGTTTCTGACAGGTTTATCAGACATTAATGCTGTGACGGATGACTTGCTCGTGAAGCACAAACAAACCGTCAGACCCGCACGCTTTCCATTACACCTGTTCTGTTTAATGGTCCATTGTGCACTAAAAGGCACATTGAGGCTTCTCTGATGTTGGAGCACATGGGACAAAAAAAGAACAACCTGCTGCCTTTTGTCCTTTTGTCCTTCCTCAGGTCACAGTGACCACGACGGAGTAAGTTGAAATGATCAAATGTTCTCAAAGTTAGCAGTTGGATGCTGCCAGGATACAACTGCTCATGTCTGGAATATCTGGGGTTTCAATATTTTTATGCCTCAACCTAATATTTTTATGCGGCATAAATGTTTTGGGATTCAGTTTATTCTCTAGAACACCTGGAGGCAATTTGTTCAATTTTGGCACAAAGGTCCACTTGCACTCACAGATGAACCGATTTAGAATTTGGAGGTCAAAGGTCACTCTGACCTCCCAAAACACGTATTTGGCCATAACTCAATAATTCCTATGCTAATCATGGCAATATCACAGAAGTGTCTAAAAGGATCAAATGATGACGTGATGATATTTTGGACAGACATGGATGTGAACTGCAACCCGACCGATTGGCGGAGGCGGTGACTAGTTAATAATGTACCAGGTTACAATTCACAGCACTAGTTCTCTTAAGAATCTCCTTCATAACCACGCTTTGGTTTTGTAACTCAAATATTCCAAATCAAATCAATTGAATCAGTTGGAGTCGATGTGGGAAATCCGTGGCAGTCTCCCGCCCTGTGAGATGGTGGTTTTCAGATGTTTTTCTCCACACCAGCCACAGCTGCAGTGGAACAGAAAACTGTTTACCGCTTTACAACTTCTTCTTCTTTTTTTTTTGAAACTGAAAAACATAAACAAGCATGGAAGAAACAACATTTTTAGGTCATGGAAGCACTCCAGCTAAGTTTTTTTTGAAGACGAAAAGTTGTTGAATTCGACTCCGAGACGGTGAGGACACCGCATGTAGCCTTTCCATCCCAGTGGAGACACTCAGCAGTAGATCAGCAGACTGTTAAACATGTTTTATGTCCCTGTAAAGACAATGAGATGCAGTAATGTCACACACTGGAGGAATGCGCTGCACTCTAAATATGCTTCTAGTCTCTGAACGGTAATTTTGCCCGATAGCATCACGCGACACGACATTGTCTTTATAGCTGATCATTAATTATTCTTTTGTGTCTTCCTTAAAAATGTTAATGACTCAAATGCTGTCAGATAGGGAAGACGGCAAAGAAGAAAAGCATGCAGATGGTAATTTAAGCAGCTCACCGAAATTGACAGATCGTTACCACTCTGAGATTAACATCTTAAATGTCTTTAATAATTTAAAGCAGCCTAAAGTAGGCTGTCGCTACCTATAATTCCTTAATGCCGGCTAAGCTCACTGTAGCTGGAGTAGAAATGGAGAAAAAATCCAATCCGGCTGTATACAGTGTGGCTCCTGTGGGGACGTTCGCGGAGTTCATCTGAACAGGAGATTCACACAAATCCCCACTCCTACACACACACACACACACACACACACACACACACACACACACACACAGATTTATCAGGGCTGTACTCAGTAAGAGTTCCTCAGCCCCGTTAAAGGTGATTATGGGCCTAATAAGTAGGAAGGGCATTTTTTACTATCGACTAATTAGTGTGCATTATAGAGGAAGTGGGCTAACGAGTGTGCTGATTCAGGGTTTAGGCCACTGTCAGCTTTTAGCCTGCAGATCAAGAGGCAGGTTCTGTGTGATTTGTTTTGATTGTTTTTTGTTTTTTTTATCATTAAGGAGAAAGAAATCGTCTTTTAGGCGATTGATTGCTCCGGTCTTGCCAATACAAGTGCAACGTATAGCTCTGCTCTCTTCCACGGGGATGCTGTTTATTCCTAAGAACTGTTCTGATGTCACACTTTATTTCGGACGGCATCTTCCAAAGTAGCTTGAGTTGTATCCGATTGCAAGTAACTCAACGAAAAAGAAGTATGCTTTGTTAAAGATAATTAACCATTTATTGGCTCTTCACACAGGTTGTCCACTTTATATTCTGTTTTGTTGAACGTCGGGGCAAAGCTGGTTTAATTTAAAGCAGACATTTTGACAACATTAGGGCAGATTTACTAAGAAAACGCAAATGCGAGCTGCAGTTTTCGATGCTTTTGTTGCTTCAGCTGCATATATTTAACTCCTCGTTCACTGAAGGAACGCAGCAGCGGCACCACTGACGCCCTTCTTTCTGTAGGCTTGCGCGGCACACCCACGTCTTGTTGTCGTGGCGGCGGGCAAAGCTTTTGCTGCGATGTGCGATGAACCCAGCGGGCAGCGCAGCGCCAACTGTGTGAGCGCCGCTGAAGGCAGCGTCTCATAATGTATTCACTTCCTGGACTTGACCCCGGGACTGCCCTCCAGATGCAGTTCATCCGCGGGAGTCTGGGAAATAAATGATAATTCAGTGATGCCGACTCCACGAAGTTAACTTCGACCAAAGTTGAATCCCACATGAGAAGAAAAAGTTTATTGCTCATAAAATGATGATATAGCAATGTCTAGTAGCAGTTATGGCCGACCTTTATGGAAATGAAAAAGAGATGCAGTGAGACGAACCAAATTTACACAAGCCACCTACACGAGTCGAGCGGATTGGAGATGATATTGATACAGCCAGTGTGTCTCTCGGATGCTGAGGTAAATGAGTGAAATAAATGTCTTACGCGTTATATAAATCTTGTCTCAAAAGACAGAACAGTGCATTCTGTAACAGGCTCACTGTCGTGATTTTAAACAGCCACAGAAACTTCAGTGAATTCGACCTTTGGGCTTTTAAAACTATAAAACAAGAGTCGTGTTTTTGTTGAACAATAGGTTTCAACAGTCTGTCATATTCAAACCTGGAAGAATGGATTTATTTTGGCCACTTCAGGGCAGCGGAAATAAGTTGTGAGCACAACATTGACATGTCGTTACCAACTGAAGGCAAGTCCGATGCCATTAGCTCCGGTTTTTGGTCTCCAGCAGCTCCTGAGGTAGATGTCTTGCCACTGTGTTCACCAGCTAAAGGCTGGAGGCGTTGAGCAGGTAGTGTACAGTGGGGTTTTTTTAAGATCTTATTTTCTTAAATTCTTGGCTTCTTTTGTAAAATGGGGGGAAAATAAACTTTTGTTAAAAAAACAAATCAGTATTTCTAAGTAATGTAAAAAAAAAAATAAAAGTATTTTTGGCAGAAGTACCAAAACCCAATATCATTCTAACAATCCCCAGCCCTATATATTATTATTATTATTATTATTATTATATATATATTTTATTATTAGATCTATATTTGCGTAACAAAACAAGGGTTTACATCAACAGCCTGAAGAGAAATACTATGGTATCAACAGCCCCAAACCAGCCCAGGCCACAGAGCCTCTGAAAGCAACGAGGACATTTATTCTAGTTTATTTCCCAGCGAGGCCGCGGGGGAATGAAAGGGCCGAGCATGATCACAGGTGCTGGAAGTATATACGCTGCATGGTGCCACGGCAGCAAAAACAACAGATCGGTGGCCTTACATAACCTGACATCTATATTGTGTGCATTATATCCACCGGCTACACGTTGCCGAGTGGAGACTGACCTGCACGGAAACTGCCCCCTCTCAAAATAAAAAAAAAACCTCACTTTTCCATGGCAACAGCAGAGACTGCATACCAGAGGTGCACGTGGGTTGCAGCTTAAACAAGGGCTCAGTCTTCCAGAGACCACAGCTGAAGATGGTCTTGCACTTTTCACTCTTCACTCTCACTCTGCGGTGTCTTACGCTTTTTGTTTTTTTTACCTCTTTCTTCCTCATTTATGGTCTTTGCTTCTCCCTGCCCTGTCACAGACACACACACACACACACACACACACCATCTGTCTGCCTTTCTCTCTGTCTTGCGTACATACAAACACACACACACACACATACCTCTACCTCTCTTGGATAACGAGAAAGAGTGTGTTCAAAACCTCCTCCTCTCCCACAAAGCCCTGCCTGTTCCCTGGTCCACTGGGCTCCTCCGGTACACATGGCCCCTGCACTCACTCACTCAGTCTCTCTCACACACACACACACACACACACACACACACAACGGAGCTCTTAAGCCCTCATTGGCAGCATTCAAATGTTCAAGACGGCATAACGGCACCTCAAAACTCCACAGGTGAAACGTGTGTGCACACGTGCTCGGCAAATGTGAGAGCCCCACTGTAAACTCAGCCTGCTTTCTCAATGCGCGTCTCATTTAAATGTTTTGGAGCCGTTTCATTTTTGAAATGAACATCAGCAAATCAAGTTTCCCCCCCAGATTGGCATGCGTCCCTAATGAGCGTTTGGAAGAGAGGAAGAGAAAAAAGCAGCATTGCCCTCAGAGCTGTTGATTCCCAACCACTGTCGGCCTGTCTGTCTCTGTAATAGGCTGCCCTGCACTCTTCGCTCCACAATGTTTACGCTTCATCTCCTCGCTGTCTTTAAAGACAACTTAGCAGGGGGAGGCTAAGCCAGGCTTGAGTGTGCAAGCACGTACACACACGCACGCACATACAAATACAGAGGCTGAACAGTAATCTCTCAACACACTTGTGCCATTTACACAAAGTATTTGCAGTGTGTGTGAGTGTGTGTGAGAGCGTCGTCTGTAGCACATCATCGTCAGAGCGACCTCCTCCTGTCCTCCACCACTACAGACATTCCAACTGCAGGGGTCACCGCGACAACGGGGAGCCAATTACACACCAGTGTGTTTGATCAGAACAGACGGCTGCCGCGCACACGCACACGCACACACACACTCTCGGACGCGCGCACGTACGAGCACACTCGACGCAATTTGGGATCCACACTCGCTCGTTCACTCACTTCCAAACTCATCTCCTTTTGGCAAATAGCAAAAGTGGCGTCTCCGCTATTTAATTTCCACGCCTGTCAACGTCTAAGAATGTTTATATTTATTTCATTTATGCGTCTTTCTTGCCGAGTTTGTTTTGAAATCCGCGGGGATCTGAAGAAAGAGGGAGACGATGCTGGGTGAGGTGAGGTGAGGGGAGGGGGAGGGGGGGGGGGGGTGAAATGGTGACAAATGACACGGGACCCCAGTGCCCTTCTGTAAATAGCATGTGTGTGTCCACATGTGTGTGTGTGTGTAGTGCAGTATTGTATTGTCCAGCCCAAGGGTCCTGTGGGTGGTGGCCCCCGAATGTGGCTCTGCTGTCACATCCCTTTACGAGCCATCTTTTCGCCTGTCACACACACACAGAGAGACACACACGCGGCGCCTGGCCTGCCATGTCCCTTAGAAGCCAGGAAGCACAGATGTGGCAGCAGATTAATGTTGTATGGCCCAGGAGCACGCAGAGAAGCACACACACGGGGGGCCGCGGCTCGAGTCCTGCTGCGCTTCACACGACAGAAATTAAACACAATTTGTGGCACCTGCAAAGCTGGATGGTCATTTTAAGACATTTCATTTCCTCGGTCTACTGTTTCTGTTCTGAAACCTCTATGATCATAAACAGATCCATTTAAAACCGCACCCGATTGAGCCGGTCTCAAGTGGCCATTTGAGGAACCGCAGGTTTTGGCACCGATTGATTGGATTTTGATGTAAAAAAAAAAAAAATAGAGAAAATAGATATTTTTTTGTTCTTTCTTTTGTCATATGTTTTCAAATAGGTGCGTAGTATAACTAGGAATGTGATCTAAACAGGTTGAAAAGGCATTTTTCCTTTCTTGTCATCTCCACTTAAATGTGTAACTGCTCAGCCACAAGATAAACAAAAATAATAATTAAAAGACATAAGATCTAAAGAAATCCAACCCTGCATAATCAGAATCACAAGCGCTGCTGCAAAGGCCACGTTAGCTTGATCACCAAGTATCTGTCAGCCATTAGAGCAGGTTGGCAAATCAGCACTTTGATACATACTGAAGTCTGGAAAGCACCACGAGACCCCTAACCGAGCTCAAAGGAGCCTCTGTGCCCAGATCGCAGGTGCATCTGTCAAAGAAACCAAAAAATGATTTAACATGCCGAGAGGAGCCGTCTCCAAAATCGATTGAAATCAGTTTATCAAACACAAACAGTCACAACTGATGAAGAGGGTTTAATAAATCAACATAATAATTTAATAATTATATTCCAAAGCCGGAAACAGAGAATGTTAAAAATATCGATTTCATCGGTTTTTAAAATATGAACTTTATTGATTAATCATCTAATCGTCTATCGTTGTCAGGGCCAGCCAGATTAGACTCGGATAAATGAATCATTAAGTTGCATTTTTGTTGCAACCATTAGCCAATTAACCATTTGATTCAGCGCCATAGTTGTCGAGTTATTGACCCAGTTGATCCAAACTGCTGAATGTGCTATAAGACCAAAAAACGTTGCTTCCTGCTCGCTGTTAGCGGTGCGTACCGAAATTCACCTCGGACCCGTTGGTGAACTCTGCGCTCAACATTTGCATGCACACGGGCTTGTACCCTTTTTTCTTTTTAGAATTTTGATTCAAGGACCAGATATGTGTTGTACAACGGGAGCTCGTCTTTTGTGTTAATGATTCAGCCAAGAGGGTTTCATGCAAATCCAAGCTTTTGAAGTGCTGCAACAGATGGAGACCCAACATCGTCTATGCATGAAACCAATTCAATGAACAAGGGTTACCTCCCAGAACCCCCGGACGCCCGAAATAACTTCTCCCACCTCAGAACTCTGGGGGGCTGACTAATATGACACAGCTCTGCAGCATTCAATCCTTTTTCATCTCCTCCCATGTATGTACAGTAATGCTTACTGTAGAGACCGGGTTACGCTCAAAAGATCTAGTTCCTACAACGTGCCGTTCGACCTCATCGGAAGACAAAAATGTTCACGACTCATCCAAACGGCCACATTTGAGATCGGGTTGAAACGAGGGCCAAGGCGTGATGAATAATTTAAATATGGGCAATATATATATAACGACTCGCATTTACATGCAGTCTCTCCTGGAAGGCATTCATAGTGTTGGGCTCTCTTGTGCAGTTCACAACCAGCTTCCTTGCTTCCTCACCTCCTCACACCTTGTTAATCACAGCGTGAAGTGTGTGTGTGTGTGTGTGTGTGTGTGTGTGTGTGTGTGTGTGTGTGGGGGGGGGAAGGAATGCCAGAATGTCGGGCACAACCCCCCCTGCAAATTCTGATGTCGGAAAAGATTACCTCAAAGATCGTATGCACAAACTCTCCAAAAAGCTGGGTGACACAGACATTTTGAAGGATGAGTATGAATTATTTGGGCGGCGACCTGTATTCTCGGCAGAGAGCTTTTTTTTTTAGTCTTGGCCGCCTTCGCAGGTGAGCCCACAAAAAAAAGTTAATTTCGGGGCGGGGGGGGGAGGAGAGAGAGAGAGAGCTTTTTTTTTTTGCGGGGCAGAAAGTGCTGACACGCACCCAAGCGATCCATCAGTGTGCCGCCGCTCGTGCTGGCTCATCACCTCGCCGGAGAAGGCGGCAGCGATGGTGCCGTCTCAATCTGCTCCCTCGCCTCTCTCTCTCTCGTCGGCCCTCCTCATCTCCGGCCTCGTCTTCCTCCTCTCCTCTTGGCACCCTCATAAATGAATCATCACATCGCCCAGCAGAGCAGAAATGTTCCTTAATTGCACCGACATCACCAGCGCTGTCTTTCACATGCGCACATATCAAATGCACATGCATGGCATTAATGGGTGGGGGGGGGGGGGGGGGGGTTCGCGTGTCTCGCTGGTATGTGCCCTGTCAATGCGGCTCAGTATTTCAAGCGTGTTTCCATGTCCTCTCTCCCCTCATTGTTTTCCTCCGCTCCCATGTTCTCCCGGTGTAATGATTTGGATCAGATGCTGCTGTGTGGAATTAGGATCTCTCTCTCTCCCTCCCGCCCGCCCGCCCGCCCGCCCGCTCCATCTCTCACATTGGCCCTCTGGCTGACAGGCATCTCGTTAGTGCAGTATGTCTGTCAGTGAGGTTCGAGATTGAGCTGTGCCCCCGCATATCCCTGATGTCTCTCTCACTCTCTCACACACACACACACACACTCACTCACTCGCAGGATGAGTTGACGACGAGCTCTGAGCAGACAGCCTCTCTGGCCTCAATAATGATCTGATGTCCTGTACTTTGAGGGTGTCACTTTAATGGAAGTGTTATTTTTGTCCCGCACAACACAGACTATCATTTTGTTATCTCCCTTATTCCCTCTTCTTCTTCTTCTTCTTCTTCTTCTTCTTCTTCATCATCAGGTGGAGTTCAAGTTGAAGAAGACAGATGCCATGAGATGGGAGAAGCTGGAGGGAGAGGGACAGGAGTCCAACATCAAACACTTCGATCCAAGTCAGTCCACGGCCTCTGCATTTACACTCTTTCCCCCTCAACTATCCTCCTGTCTCTGCTCTCATCTCTCTGCTCCTGCTCCTCGCTCACCCTCTTCTTATCTCTCTCGCTCTCTCTCTCTCTCTCTCTCTCGTTCGCTCTCTCTGCAAAGATCAATATGAGCTCCTGTGTTTGTCTGTTCTGCACTTAAATGAGAGTGGGCAGTCGAGCCCTGCTAGAGTCTTTCATTAGTCTGACGGCGAAAGTATACAGGGAGAGGGAAAGGTATGACAGCAGAATATGACTCAGTATTTTAGCCCACACATTGCCATTACTGACAGGATTAATTACTTATGTAAGTGTGTGTGTGTGTGTGTGTGTGTGTGTGTGTGTGTGGAAGGGCGAGTAAAAGTTAAGTGGGCAGCCAAACCATCCTTTCCATGCAACCAGCTCAGTTTATAGCTCGGACTACTGTTACATTTAAGCATGATTTTTGACATCTGATTTTATGGGATCACATTGCCGCATGTCCACACTTGGCCTGAATGTGTCTGCTGTGTGTGTGTCTGGCGCTGTATTTATGTAAATCTGCGTCTGGATTACTCTTCCAGCTCTCCATCTCTTGTTGGGATTACAGTGGGTGTAATGCATCCTGAAAATATAGAAATCAAATCACAATGTGATCCTTCAGAGTCTGAAGATTCAGTTAAAACGTCTCTGGGTGATTTCGAGGATAGAAGTCGAGGTACTGCACACAGTTCAAATCTCAATGAACCTGTTTGTTTTCAGTGTGATTGAAGAGCTCTGCTTACCGTCTCGTCAAACACCCTCTCATGGTTTGAAATCCCTCTGACTTGGTCCTAATTGAAACTACACGAGCTGTAGCCTGACTTTTGTTTTCCCCTTCTCCATCAGATCAGTACCCTTCGTCCCACTCTGCCTGCAACTGGGACAAGGTGATGGTGGACCTCGGCGAGGAGGAGAAAACCGAGAAGCTGGAGGGAGACGCGGCGCTCAACAAGCTCTTCCAGCAGATCTACTGCGACGGCACGGACGAGGTCAAGCGAGCCATGAACAAGTCCTTTGTAAGTATTGTGCTTCAGTGACGAGTCTGTTTAGCCCTCCCCCGTGGGCTACGGGTCATGCTAACTTTGCGCTATCCACCTCCGTAATAGAGATTCGGGAACTCCAGCAGGACTACTTGCATTGGGGCAAAGCAGCGTTGGCCTCCTAAAGCTTCCAAAATAAACTTACATTTTACAAAGTTTTATCTATTATGCTAACATGCTCATGCTCACCATCTTAGTTCCAGCATCCTAGCGTGCTAACATTTGCTAATTAGCACTAAACACAGAGTACAGCTGAGGCTGATGGCAATGTCATTAGTTTTGCAGGTATCCATAAAATATTCAACGAATTGATGTTTTGCCCTGAGTTCATCCGTGTGAGAAGCACATTCCATGGCGATCCCTCCGATTGTTGTCAAGACTTTTCTATCCGAACCGTCGATGTCAATCTCACGGTGGTGCTCAAAGAAAAGTCAGGGGATCGTCAAAGTCGGCAGAATTCGTCCTCCGGGGGGAACACGAGTGTCTGCGCATCACTTCATGGCGATCCATCCAATAGCTGTCCAGATATTTCCATCTAGACCAAAGTGGTCGAAAGGCCGACATTGCCATCCATGAACGAACGATGTCCTGAAAGGCTTCGGTTGCTTCGTAGGGGCTGTAAACCTGTTTGATTAGTGTATGGAGGTCTGGAATCCAACACATGTAGTGTGGACTGATTATCTAGTTAACGAGCTTCCTTTAGAGTGCATTTATGTGTACAGAAGGATGTGCGCATGATGATTACGAGTAGATGTTGTTTGATGATGGTGGGGGTGGGGGGACAATCAGCATTCTGGGTTACTAACGATCAGATCTCCCGATGCTGGAGTACAATGCTACACTTACAAAAAGGATTCGCTGTCATTCCCTACACGCAGCCTAAAGCTGGCTGTGTTTAAACATTCATCTCTGCGTTTGGTTCAAACGACCCCGAGCTGAAGAGACCTCGAGGAGAATAAAGGTCATCTTCTGTGCAAATCAGCCTTTTTGGATTATTTGACTTTCACAGTTTATTGTGGAATAACGAGAAAATGAAAAATTAGTTGCTGGTGAGAACTTCAACCTTGTTCATCAATACTTGTCGTGTGTCGGGGGCTCGTCTGAGCCGCTTCAATCAGAGAGAAGGTGTTGCAATAACTCCTGCATTGTCTCCCCCCATCCCTTGTGCAGATGGAGTCCGGCGGCACAGTCCTGAGCACCAACTGGGTGGATGTGGGCAAGAGAAAAGTGGAGATGAACCCACCGGAGGACGTGGAGTTCAAGAAGTACTGAGCGCTTAGCCCCCCCCTCCCCCTCTTTCTTCTCATTTATCCGTCTGAACTCCAGCAGGAGTGCTCGTTGCCCTGCAGACTCCGTGACCGTGCTCTTCTTCCTCCTCTTCCCGACCCCTCAGTTGTGCTGTTGCTCGCCAAGTGCAGGGAGACTCGGTGTTCCCACTTTCACTCGATATCCCCCCATGGCCCACGCTATGCAATAACTTGCTACCCGATGCTGTCGGTTCATTTGACCCATCTGTTGAACAGATTGATTTACATATCTGATTTTAAAGGCCAACGGACTATAAAGGGAAGTCTGGATTAAAGTTGTGACTGACGGAGCTTTCAGATAATTTCCTCTCCTCTGCCTCCTTTGCTTTTCTCAATAAACGCCCACAAGCCTTTCTATTTCAGGGGCCTTTCATGACTTCCTATTATCAGCACTTGTATAAAAATGTAAAGTTGTTAAACATCTCAACCAGTTTTTATTTTTTAACTGGTAGCTATGATTGCTTTTCTCGGCTCATGCAGCTTTTTTTTTTTTTTTTTTCCTGTACGCTCGGTAAAAAAAAAAGTCAACAGCAGTCCTTTTCAGACTGGCTTCTCTGGAATGTGTGTGGCGTGTCAGCCAGCGGCTTAGCACCGGTCGTTCCCTCAGTGTGATTCAAGCTTCGTTGTAAATAAAAGATTTGTTGTTTGGCTCACAAACTTTGTCTCGCGTTTTATGGTCCGTTGTCTCTGGAAACTGCTTGGGACGGGTTGGAAAGGTAGGAAGGGATCCACCAGATGGAGGAGAAAGAAAAAAACAAAACAGCAATATATTATGACGGAGAGCCTTGCTCTGTGATTATGTGCTGGGAGCAATAAAATGTGGCATCACTGATATGAGCGCAGGGCGGTTCAGGTATGGCTTACAGCTTGAGGGTCGCGGTTTACGTACTCGATTGGTATCAAGACGACGGGGAGAAGCCCCCGAGCTGTTTGGCCAGCAGGCGAGGATGCGGCCCTGAGGTGGAGTGGTGATCTTCCACACGGAGATCACCACTCCACCCCCCCCCC